AAGTATCTATGATTGACGGTCTTAGACAACTCAAGTATCTATGATTGACGGTCTTAGACAACTCAAGTATCTATGATTGACGGTCTTAGACAACTCAAGTATCTATGATTGACGGTCTTGAACAAAGCATGTAGAAAAACTAGTCGACACGCTTCCTTGGCACAACAAATTACGGAACTTCGAATTTTATTGTTGAACATTTTCAAATTTCACCCACCATATGTGTTATATGGATACAATCTAATAGGAGACATAAGGGCATAAAATATTGAAGCGCATATTATTACCTCATGCATATACTCGCTGATTAGTTAAACAGCCTCAATCATCTTTGACGTGAAAATAGTAGACGAACGTTACGGTGCCGAATTCAGATCCTCTATTTGAAAGTGGGAACTCCTTTTCACACTTGATCTCACCTTGAGATTGGCTAGTTCCTGTCATTCAATCAATCGGGCTAGCATTTGATAATAATAAAGTAAAATATACAGTTTTTTTGTGTTTTATCATCACCAGTGAGCAGCTTGAAACACCAGAGACATCATTCTCTAACTCACCTCCGTTTAGGACACCTAGCAACGAAAGAGCTGGACTGCAAAGCTGATTTCACACGCATCGCAGACAATTCATGTCAATATGTTCATTCACAATTTGACAATTCATGTCAAACAAATAACGAGGGTTGCCTTCTTGTTATAATAACCTCTACCCCTGTTTTATAATGTCACCAGCCGATGCTATCTGATATCTATGACTCTGATCCTGATTATAAAATGTAAGCTTTCGGAATCAACGATTGCTATGATGGTCAACGAAATTTTATTAATTCTAATTTCACTGTCGTGACTTGTCGTATATTGAGGCCGACTTAAGGTAAGCCGAAATAAGCTTCAGGTGTGGTTAGCTAGGCCTAATCCGAATGCAGTCAATGACCTGTTCTTGCAACAAGTTTTTTTTTGCAATCTAATTGAAACAATGAGCTTTCCGTCTGTGAGTGTCCTCCCCTTTTGAGTATTCATAGGTGCAGAAGCAATCTGTCCCTAGCGGTCGTCATTGTCACTCTCATGGGCACGCGACACTCGATGAGAAATTTCTTCGAGACTGCTGCAAGCTCTGTATGCTTCCGAATTCGCTCTGTGCCGAGGGCTGTGAAAACCTGAATCAGGTGGCTATTTCCTTAGAAGAGGCTTTTAAGAGACTTCTGCAATTGCGTCTACAAAGTGAGGCAGTGGTAAAAACATAACTGCTAAAAGAGTGTGGTATTTTGCTAACATTAGTTGATTCTGCGTGCACGCGGACGCGTACGTAATGTATGTAGCGATTAAAAACAACATAAACGCTTAAAATTATGTAGGTGTCGCTGGTGATTCCGCTTGAAATGACTTCCGCGATATCGCTATCATCTTAACAGTGTGCGCATCATGTGGTACGGGGTTGAGTTATAATCCTACGAGTTGCCAATTTCGTGTAATAGTTTTGATTTCTGAATACGAAAAAAAAGGGAAATACTGGCGCGTTGTTTGGTATTAACAGCTGCTTCGGAATGATTTTTTGTGTTCAAAGGCTATAGGCCAGTCCGGAAATTGAAGCCTTTTAAGTTAACAAGGCCCGGTCTCAAATCCCGGAGGAGAAGTTTTTGCCTGAAAGAGGAATAATCGACAAAAAAGATCGACAAAAAAAGGAAAATCTGGGAATTTATCGGACCTTTTTAGGTGATCGAGTGAATTCAACTTGTTCGAATAAACCTACTACTGTAAGATCAGTTGATTCCAGAAGGGTCCTGAGTTGTCGAAAGTCCTAATTCACTGGAATGTTTGTTTCTTAAAAGGCGATTGAAAGCGTAATGATGGTAGGACGCTGCTGCGCGGTTGTTGGTCACCTGTTCAACAAACGCGAAGTCACTCTATGCCTAGCGATGCAAGAGCGATGTTCCTCAAAGTAGGTTTCCAGTAAAATAATGAGTTTCTCTAAAATAATAAGGTCCTAGATAAAACGGTTTGACGGTGAAGTACAACCTTAAATAGTTTTCAACGACTGCTAACTTAATTTGCATTTCATCTCTTGCAGAGATTATGTTAGTGTGTTAGATTAATATATTGATTGCGCGTCTGTTCCATCCTGAAACCAAGATATATTTTCGCCTCAATCTATTGTAACCACATTGAAGCGTCTTCAATTCAACGTGTTGGCTAATTGTACAGCATCTATAAACTTCCTACAAACGCCGATGTGTAACACATCAAATGTAGAATATTTATATCAAAATATCTGTTTTGTAGAAATCGCTTTAAGAGTGCTCAAATTTGCTTAGGAACGTCTACGCCGTAACACGTTCTTTTGGAAGCCGATAACGTTGATTCACGCAAAAGCGCAATAGCCTGTACTTGCTTCTCGCTGATCCGCTCCTTCCGGACAATCATTGACGTCATAGTAGAAGATCTGTGCGGAAGAAGGATCTATTAGATTAAGCCTTTTTTAGATTAGGTCTGTCTGTATCTAGCAGCTAGTACTGAGTTAAGGTAGGCGGATCGTTCCGTAAATTTATTTCATTTTTGCTCTATAAAACACATTGAGCTAAAAATGTTCCGACGGGAAATTGAAAGATTTAGTCTCAGTTTATATATATACATATATGCTAATGTCAGAGTTACCTATGATATGTCAGAAAACGTCAAATTTTCGTTCAACCCCACAGACTTTTTGATGTACTAACAAAAGTAATCGTCCCCTAAAATCAAGTATTCGAAACCGTGATCGATAACAATTATCTAACATGCGCCGTACGGAGGGTTAAGTCTAACACTACCTGGTTTTCCTAGACAAATTATGATTTTTTTATTTTTATTTTTTATTATTATTTTATTAATAATTTTATTTTTCGATTAATTTAATTAATAATAATAATATATTATTAAATTTTGACAGCTAAGCTAATAAAAAAACAGTTTTCTTTTGAAGATATATTCTCACGGCTAGTGCACATTACTGACGGTATAAGGTGCTTAACGAATTCAACCAACTGTGTATAGAACGCAAAGACGTTATCGCGTCTACAGTCTTATCATAATCAGACAAGTAAGTTTTCAGAGATCTCTTACTCATCCTTTTAGGTCTACTGAGGTTTCCGCGCAAAACTCGCCCTATATATATGAGGCAGCCTTTAGCAAGCTTCACGATCTGCTAAACAGGTCATAACCTAGATAGTATCTTTGTTTTCTACTGATTGATGTTGGCATATTAATGTAGTGCTGTTACGTGTTACACCATTTTAACGATGTACTTATCGATTAACCTTCCTTAGTTCGGGTAAACTATGTCTTATTATACTATTATGTATACTATTTTGTGTCATCATTAAAAGCTAAATGCATAACTTAAATGTTATGCATTTAGCTTACCGTAATTTTTCCGCCCCTAGCGCGGGGAACAATCGTTTTTACAGCGTTAGACAGTGAACGATGCCAACCACAGTTACGACACGTCATGATACGTACTCCAAGACGGGTGTCGCGGCTTGTTCCCATGCCCGTGCTGAACGCTGCCACAAGCGAAGTATTATCGGCACAGATGTGGTGTACGCCTTGCTTCTGCTTCTGATCTAGCCCATAATACTTTACGCTGAATAGATCACGCAGGAATTTACCGCTTTGTCGATCCCACAGTTTTACTCGGCCATCGTACGATGCGCTTATAATGAAGTTTGTGTTTACCTGCACCGATGATATCGCACCTTCGTGACCAACAAGCGTCTGTACACAACTGCCACGTCGAACATTCCATAGTCGAAGGGTGTGATCGGCGTTTGCTGACACAAGCATATCGCCTCTTAATACCAAAGCTCGGGTAGGACCCTCATGACCCCAAAGGACGTATAGGTTGTGGCCTGTCCGATCCCAAACTCGGATCGATGTATCAAGGCCAGCTGATACAATGTGTTCAGCGTCGAATTCTAGCGCGCAGACTATGTCGGTGTGACCTTCCAAATTACGTAGACATCTGTCTCGACTATCGCCCCAAATTTTTATCAGCCGATCATGCCCAGCGGACATGATGGTTTTTCCGTCCTTACTTAGTCGGACGCAGTTGATTTCGCTCATATGACCCGTCTGACCACCAAACACCCGTATACACTCGCCTGTGACATGATTCCAGAGGCGAATTGTACTGTCGCTAGAACCGGAAGCTACCCTGGAAATAGGCCAACAAATACGGTAATATCTGCTCGTACGTAATATTCATACAGTGTGTTGGCGCGTGCTGGTGTGCGAAAAAATTCTAATCCACCATAGAGACGCCACAATGAAGCAAATTAGAAAGCTTTGTTTAAATCCCATAGGAATCCGTGCTGTCTGTTCCGCCAATTGGACCAATGCAGCTCCTGCTTAGATTATCCAACTGATTCGAGAACTGGCTTGTTTGGCGGCGCGAAGAAGAGGTCCAGGAAGTTTTTTCCCGTCGGGCTCAGAAGTTTGCCTTTTGTAGTGGCAACGGCGAACAGCTCATTGCTCCCGGGTCGACTCAAGTAAGGCTCTCAAACGAAGTTTTTTTCTACAGAACAGCTGATTAAAGGACCCACTCGGCAGGAACGCTTGAGAAGGAAGCGCTCAGCGGCGGAATCAAATGATTAAAGCTCGAGTTCTTTCTAGAATTGAACAAGCATATATCGAACTTCCTATGACATACGTCAATTCGCACGAAAACTTGGTAAGATTTAAGTCCCTTCCGAATTACGTTTCATAAAGTTCTCTTGACAGGTCCTGTCATATAGGTTAAAAAGACTTACCTGTCCCTTTGCACATCCAGACATTTTACGGTTTGTTGGTGTCCGATGAGGGTGCGAATGCATTTCCCTTTATTAAGAGACCATACTTTAAGAGTGGCATCCGACGATCCGGAAATTGCGATTGTTTTCATTAGCATGGCACACCAAACCTGATTCTTGTGTCCTTCGAGTATATGAAGTAGCTTACCTATGCAATGTCAAAGAAATCCAATTGTAGCATTTGACCGTCTCAAAACCTGTGTTGCAGTCGTTCCGCAGAAGCCGTTTAATGATCAAACGAAAACAATAGCCGTGATATGTACATATAGCAATAATAAACAAACTCTAGGAACTCGTATCAGATTGTCAGCGTACATCAATAGTCGTAACACGTACTGATCAGTAACAGGGCATTAACAACTGCTTTCTGGATCGTTCTGATTCCGTGTCACCCAAGGAAGAACATTAATAAATATTGTATACTATACAATTGATATATACCTTTTTATGTACTGTGTTACATGCGCCTGTAAGTTGTGTATAGGTAGAATAAATGCCTCCCTGTCCACAATTTCAAAGTGTGCGCCGTAGTGGTTTAATAATAGTTTCGGGTGGAAAGCCCCCTGCGAGCTTTTAGACATTGTACAAAATCTTCACTTGATCCTATCGTGTTAAAGCTCGACTGATTTTACACATTCTAATCTCCCAGTTGTTTTTGTCATGCGACGCTAAATAACAAATAATAATCATCATCATCATTGTTACACGAAGGCCATCACAAATTTTCCCTATCTCTAATATGATGTGAGTGGCCTGTGTTGGTCCAACGAATAGTTGTTGGTGTAGTTGTAAACCTCTAGAAGAAATTGGTCGCATTAAAAATCACAGCAGAAACACTATATCCTTGCTCAGTCTGATGGAAGTAAGTGCCCATTTCCAAAAATTTTATAATAACTCCTTTATGATTAGGCATACACAATCTAACATTGGCCGGATCGTTTTCAACTGAAGACTTTTTGGCTGCGTATCAAATACGGTTTTGCGCAATAGATTGCTCATTACAGAGTTTTATTATTTTTTACATAGATCGGTTAATGGCGTACCAGTTTTCGCGTTGTGAAGTCGGAGCGTGTGGTCAGTACTGGCGGTTAAAATTGTATTTCTAGCGTAACGTAAACACGTGATCTCCTCGCTTTTGTGGCAATCGATGATCCTGTGTCTAGGCTGTGCAATGAAGCGCCAGCTCCAATTGATGGCATAACGCGTCCGTATAAATATTTGCCGCCATTTGTCCCATTCGTCTTGCTGCAATTGTTAAGAGATAAAAACCCAATTGCAGGGCCATCTCACAGATATAATGTATACAAGATACTGTATTTAGATGTCAATTCGATCGCTACGAAGCATTGCTATTACTATGCATTGTGAGAATATGGGGCAAGTGAAGGTAATGCTAAGACAAACCCTTATGCACATCCCCCTGCCTGTTAAGCATGAAAATTTTCATGGCCTAACTTCGGCCCAGAATCCTCACGGTTTCGGTCCCTATAGGACACTGCTACGGGAGCCATTACGTGCATACACTCGATCTCGTAGCAACGTATGTGTCCCTTTGGCTGGCTCTGGTAGCATGTTTCTTTGCTTAATGAGATACCGCTTTCTTTCGTGTCAGGTTTCTAACGATTTGATAAGGTCTCAAATAATATTCGTCATTTTATTATGTAGAAGTCTTTGTCCCGAGCCTGTACTTGTTGCAGGCTTTCAACCTTCGTGTCCTTTATTTGGTTTCTGAAAACTGCACCTTAACATAGCTATAACCTGCACATTAATTCTTCACTATGGAGGCGACAAAGATTTCCCTAGCTACGTTTGGCATGAATGTCCATACATACTCAAACGAGCAGCTCAGTTATGATATCAGATATTTAGCAACACGCCAAACTTCGGAACAGGGCATATCAGTAATTTCGCACTAGTAGCCAGCCGCTTCGACCGATATTTATCGCCAGTAATGCTAGGCGCAGAATTCAAAACATTTACTCCAACTTAAATTAATTAACAAATTAAAAAAGTTAAAGTTATTGATAATATTTTATAGAATAATCTCAATAGATAACTTACAGGTTAGATATGGAAGTTCTACAACTTGGTGAACAGAAATGGTCATTATTTGAACCTATAGGTGTTAACGACGTACAAAGTTTAGCCGGGATGCATATTGTATTGTGCATTAACTTTTGTCTCTGCCTCGACATTCTGGTACCGGCCATTTGGAAAGAATCATGTAGTCGACAGCGTCTATGCACAATCTACGACAATAGTCGACGGTTTTGTCACTTATTAGCCATATACTTACATGGCTTCATTAGCTGAGCCGTGAACTAAAAAAAGGGATAACAGATAGTGCGACTGTCATGGTTTATGATACCGATGATACACCCTTGGCAATACCCTGTCGCAACAAATCAAAACGAAATTTAGAAGACCGGGGGCAACAGGTACTAGAGGCAAAAGTCACACTGAGTAGCAGCACTAAGAATAAATTGTAGTGCTCAGTATTCTAAGGCTGACATAGTGAAACCTTACTGACAGTAGATTTTCTGGTCCTTGGCATCTCGATCTGCAGTTCCTGACATCGTGCTTCCCAGTATCGATCATTGTTCTGATTAACGAGCAGGTGGACGTCTCTGTCCCTAGGCTCAAAGTACGCAATAATTTGTGCTGCAATCTCAGTCGGCAGAGCACAGATAAACGTAGGTCGGCATCTCCGTAAAATAAGTAGTAGACCGCGCAGTTGGGCAACACTGCAGATTGAGAGAAGACCAACCAGAGCCTCTACCATTGCTGTGTCATCGCTGAAGCCAGAATTAAGTTTTACGCGATTAAATTCGACATCTAAATAGCATTGCGTTACCGTCCTATAACAGCTAAAGCTGTCTCCACGCCTAAACAGCATTTCGAAAAATATATACAGATGTCGAGGGAATTAGACTGATTCTGCGTTTATTATACAACCAAATTAAGCTAAATGTTAAAGCAATGGGTAGAACCTTTGCGGAAATAGGATTTATTTATGGAACTTTATAATTGACTGAGAGCTAACGCGAAATATACGAAACGAACGAATGTAGTAAAAACTCACAACTTATTGAAGTCATCCAGCCATTGCTGTGAATCGAATGCCCCCTCGGGAATCTCATCGTCTGGATTGTCGATTACATCGTCGCCTCTGAAACGATTCCGTTGTCCGAACCATGATGACTGTGCTTCATTCGCAAACTTCGGAATCTCCGGAATGGGAATTTCTTGGCGATCTCTTTCCTGTACAGCTTCATTAACATCTCTGAGAGGTACAATTGTACTCTCGAATGGAACCGGAACCACCTTGATATCCTTGCCTATATGCGCACAATACTTTGCTGGAGCAAAATGTCGGCCGCCGAAAGAAGCAGCGTCTTCTGCTCCAGTAGCTTCGCCAGTTTCAATGAAAGAATCGTTTTCTCTAGCTTCATCAGACGCTATACCATCTTCGGATTCTCCGTCGTCCTGTTTTTTCTGTTGGAAATGTTCTCGATTGCTGTCTTTGTTTGCTTGAGAAACCCCGCTTCCATTGTCTTCTTGAGCAGCCGCATCTTTGCCGTCTGTTTCAGCAGCCGCATCTTTGCCGTGTGTTTCCGCAGCTGCATGCATACGGCTGCCGAAGCATACGGCAAACATACGGCTGCCGAAGCATACGGCAAACATACGGCTGCCGAAGCATACGGCAAACATACGGCTGCCGAAGCATACGGCAAACATACGGCTGCCGAAGCATACGGCAAACATACGGCTGCCGAAGCATACCGCAAACATACGGCTGCCGAAGCATACCGCAAACATACGGCTGCCGAAGCATACCGCAACAGCAGGCATACGGCGAATATACAGCTGCCGAGGCATACGGCAAACATGCGGCTATTGAAGCAGACGGCAAACATGCGGCTGTTGAAGCAGACGGCAAACATGCGGCTGTTGAAGCAGACGACAAACATGCAGTTGCTGACGCAGACGGCAAACATGCAGCTGCTGAAGCAGACGGCAACATGCGGCTGTTGAAGCAGAGGGCAAACATGCAGCTGTTGAAGCAGACGGCAAACCTGCAGCTGCTGAAGCAGATGGCAAACATACGGCTGTCGAGGCATACGGCAAACATGCGGCTGTTGAAGCAGATGGCAAACATGCAGCTGCTGAAGCAGACGGCGAA